TGCGTGTGTTAGGTATTTGTCGTACTGTATTCTCAGGCCTTCTGTGTTAAGCCAGCGCTGCTATCTTATTATCTACGGATGCTAAAATAAATCACTGTTTTGGTTTAATGAAGTTTGGCACACAGAACAAACAATAATCTGGCCCATAAATATCAATGTGGGCGGCATGCATATTTGTGTGCGGTGTCCTGCCGGGGAGTAACCGTTGCGTGACGAGAGCATTTACAGCGGTTCCTCCTTCCGTTGCTCCCTTACAAACTTAAGATGAATACAGTTGCTCCCCCATTCTCGAACAAGTCGGCCATCTTGTTCCGCTTGGTCTTTTCGGAGAGTAACAGTCGGTCTGAAGGAGTAAAAACAGCCGTTGCTCCCATTTTGGCCATTTTTGGCTTAGAGTGCATATAGCCACTAGACCACCGCGGCGGGGCATTTTGCATACGACGTGTTTGGTCGACTCTGTTGTAACTGGTCTGCTCATACAGTACCTAATTCTTCATATTTTTGCTTTTTTCTTGTCAATCCGTGTATCCTTTATAAATTTTTTGATATTTATTGACCAGCTTTGAAAAATCTGGTCGCTTCAGGGTGCAAGATAGAGTATAAGCCTGATTTGTTGCTACAGGTATCGGTCTTTTTCAAATGGAGTTTATTTGTAATAGGGAATGCTCACTGCTCTCCCATAGTCGAGTACGAAGTACTCGAAGCATTTAAACACTTTTTCTAAACACACATTACATATTCATGTTTTATTTGTGCTTCTTATTTACCATGCCATATGCTAATGTGTACCTCTTTTTTGTGACACATTTTTGTGCGTCTGTGCTAGTGTGAAACATCGAATGTGTACATGTTTCTTTCCCGTCATTTCATATCCATGTTCATGTAAATGAAGTCTGTTTTGTCATCATAGCTAATGTACGTCTAACATGAAAATGTTCTCTTGATATGTTATTGATGTCTAGGTCAAAAGTATTTCTGAACACATTAAGGCTGCAATCACCTACATGCGCTCTTCCAAATTCAAACTTTTCCCTTGTTTAGTATGGCGTGCGTACCTAATCGATCCCTAGTCTTCCTCTGCTTTTCCCATGTGTATCCCTACTACTAAGAACAAACTAGGCGCTCAGTTGTGGGGACAGAAAGAGGGCGATGGCTGAGGCCGTGCTTTTAGGTATTAGTTCGTTGAAAGTATACTGTCGAACGATTGCTCTCGTGCGTCTTGCAAAAGAAAGTATGAGATAAGTGTTTAGAAACTACGTAATGTGTAGCCACTTTACAGGTGGCGTGCACGTGGCAGATTGGGCCAAATTAGCGCCAATGAACTGTAGTCACGCTATAGTGTCGTTACTGACGTAAGATAGCAGCTACAGGCTACGTCGATGAACACTCATGCAAATCACTGCCTCCCAGTCTCTCTCGTTTGTTGACCTCAACCTATGCCTAACTCCCTCAACTGCGATTATAACTGATGTTGCAGCTCAAAGTTACATGAAGCCAGTTATACAAGTATACCTGTGCACTATCAATGAAATGTGTTAACGACTCACCTCACACACCTGACATGGTAGTATACGTGAGAATGTTGCATGCAGCAACCTTTTGAAGATGCAGTGATCGTGATAGAGAAATCTGGAGATCATTTTCGCGATATTTTCTTCGCCCCCCGGTGTTTTGTTTTGAGGTTTATACTTTCTTTCAGACCAACAAGAATTTTGCTTGGTACATACGCGCATAACTGTTGCCTACATATAATGTATATAGAGTGGACGATTTTGAACAGTCCTTGTCCAGAATAACGTATACCAATTCCATTGCAATACCACTCCTTTTTTTTTTGCATTTAATCAGTGGTTCATGTTGAACCCTGCCCGAACCATCGCCGAGATAAGGCAGCCGTAAATGTATACAGAAAGATATAGAACAAAAAAAACAGAATGAAACAAAACGAACTCGTAAGTTATGTAGGTCCTGGTTACGTTGAGTAATGGTGTCTCTAGAGAGAGAGAGAGAGAGAGAGAGAGAGAAATAGAGAGAAAAGCCAGGGAGGTCAACCAAGGTTGGCTCGGTTGGCTACCCTACACTTGGGGTGGGGGAAAGGGAGAATAATAGAAAGGAAAGAGATAGAAAAGAAGAGGAGTAAGAATCAGAAGCATGAATCTTCAGCTCGAGACTACACAGCACGGTCTCACACTGTTCTTTACAAGCGGTTAGTGTCTCTAGTAATTGTGAGAAAGAGACGAGAAGACAGATTTTTGAACGGTACGTTTACGCCGTCCTCTCACCTTCCCTGTGGGTCCTCGGTATGTTGATCTGGGGCTCATTTTCACTTCTCATTGATTTCACAGACGATGGATACACTTGCAATCGTGTCCTTACGTAAAGTTCCAGATGTGGCCGAGAAACTGCTCTTTTTCGTCTAGTTTCCTGGTTATAAGTTGCAATTTACCAAGAACCCGAATAAAGTGCTGAGTTCGACTGAATGATCAATAAGATGACTAGATTTAGGCATGGGGAGCAAGCATTGATGGACTTAAGCGGACGTATTAAATTGAGTAAGATCCACCATATATGACTACAGAGAAGCACTTGTCACGATTGGTAGTGCGCGAGCATCAATGATTGATTGATATGTGGGGTTTAACGTCCCAAATCCACCATATGATTATGAGAGACGCGCGAGCATCAATGCTGTCGTTCAGTGTCGTATATAACATTTCGATGACAAAGTTGGCCGTTCATAATTTTTTTTTCTGATGCGCATTTGGCGTTTGAGTTTAGTGATTTCACGATAATGCTGTTGCAACATACGACACAAGAAGTGCACGTTCAACACGGTCGATCAGTGGGTATACGATGCTTGGCTGCTGACCCGAACGTCCAGGATTCGATTCCAGCCGCCCCGGTCACATTTTGGTGGAGGCGAAGTGGTTGAAGCCCCTGTACTGTGCGATGTCAGTTTACGTTAAAGAAAACCGGATGGTCAAAATTTCAGGAGCCCTTTACTACAGCGTCTCTCGCAACTATGGCGTGGTGGTTTTGGAAGTAAAATTTAGGTATTATTATTATTATTATTATTATTATTATTATTATTATTATTATTATTATTATTACAAAAAGTGCAAAAAACAAGCCTCCAGAACTGTTGCTGCTAAATTCTAGTGCAACCTATTTCTGGGCCCACGTGGAAGGAATTTTACCGCGAGACCTGTTATGTGACCACAACTCAAGTCACGCGCAGTTGTCCGCCGCTGCCGCCGCCGCCGGTGTCCGTAACCACATCGCGCGAAATTAGAAAAAAAAGAAAGCCTAGCTCCAAAGACACAGTGGGCCTCGAAACCCGGGTCTGCTGGGTGCCAGCCCAGTATTCTACCACATAGATACGCCGGTGCTTGTGACTTGTTGGCGAACTTGCCTTAGTAGACTTGATGTCGGGAAAACAATCGCTTTAATACGACTTATAAAGCGTTCTAAAACAGTGAAAGAACAACCAGTCGTCGCACAACTCCAATAGCGTAACGAGTGGGTCGTCCAATGCTCTAGCCCGTTACAAAAGCTTCTTCTTGTTCACCTATTAACTATGGCGCATACCCACTTCAGCCATAATTTCTCATCGTCATCAGCCACTGCATGAACAATTGGCACAAAATTCCTTGCAAGTGTTTAGCGGTTACCACGCTTCTCAGAAGAACAACGAAAAGAAGCATAGCGAATATTGGCCTACATACTACCCAAAAGTTTATTATTAATGCCCTAGTAGGTATCACTCAAGTGTGCTTGCAGTAGATACCCAATGAGTGTTGAGAAAAGGCTCTGAAAGGCCGCTCTTCTATATCTTACGCTGCGACAGTGCTGCACCTTCCACGCAGGCCTGACGTTGTTGCATTGCTTTCGTGTGTGTCATTCTTCATCACATGTGCAGTTGAGAGTACTTTTCGTCAGCGACAAAATTTGTATATATAGCCAAAAAAGTTAAGTGCTGTTACTCACGGGCTAGACGAACTCCCCAAGTTCAAGCCTTTCAGAGTTCTCTTGCAGCCCGACATATTTTTTTTTAAATTTCGGACTAAAATGACGTAAATTGAACAAAAAGGGGATCATAAAGGTTGCCCAGTAACTTTATCGCTATATGCCAAGTAATGATGCAGACAACTGGAACAGCTTCACATAAACCAAGAACAAGAATATATACTTACTCAATAAATGCGTAAATATCTCAAAGCAAAACCAAACAACTACTACTAGTAAAAGCAGTGATGATGTAACTGGCTCATGTAATTGCAGTTGCGAATGGCGTTGCACATCGGCGACAGTCTGGAGTGCTCTGCCTGTATTCCCGCCGCTTCCATTGCAGCGAAGATGCTATGTCATGTATCTACTGAAATTTCCTTTCTAACAAAAAAAAAAACAAAAAAAAACCAGCGTGTTGCTTCTCATACCATCAGAAATGCACTGTAATCGTTTTGAGCTAAACGCTATTCTCGAAGCGTTTTTTCTCAGATTTGTAAATTTTATTGATTTAAATGAGATGCTGCGTACTTATTCACTACGCCTTATCACCAAACAGTGCACGGCAAACTTCTAAAAAGCATCTACATTAGGTTCTCTGAAGTCTCTAAGTGGAAGAGAGACCCGTGAGAGAGCACCAACTGAAGAAATACGAAATGAGCATATTCTTCATTACGCGTAAGTCACCTTCGTCCACTTGACGTGCTCTAAATTCCACAAGTATTCGTTCCGAAATTTTCGCTCGATGTACTACTTATGTTTAAGTGCACCACCCAAAAAATAGCGCTGTAAGTGCCCCTTAACCTGAACCTCTGTGCTGGGCTTTGCCGTTACTCAGCCAGCACCAGTGCGAGATCTAGCTTCAAGCATACTACTCACCATGCACAGCCTATACTGTGCATGGTTACTACTAAGCATATCTATGGCTTATTACACGCTGACAAGTTGATGGAAGACATTAGCCGACTGCTGTTTGTGTAAGTACATTTACTCACCGGGGATAGCAGCCGGCGCCGTGTCCGATGCCGAGAAGGCGGGCGGGGATCCGGGAACGTGATGAACCATGGCCGGCACCGGCAGTGGACGTTGAGGGGTCGCCGAAGAGCCGGGGGGAGTCGCTGCCCGCTTGGGCACGCTCAGGTCCATGAAGGCATGCCGGTAGCTCAGGGCCGGCCCTTCCGCCTTCGCCGCCGCAGCCGCTGGGTCGTGTCGCTCCTGCCGCTGTCTGAAGGCCTCCGGCAAAGACGCCACCGTCACGGCAGACCGAGAGTCACTGGTGGCTACAGTCCGGGTCACACTACGCGTCTTGCACAGCAACCGTCAGGGCTTCAACAGCCGCGTGGAGGCTGAGGTCTCGACTGGACGGGAATTCACTGCGGCTCTGACTGATGCTTTCCGGAACAACCGATACCTGTTCTGTTCGACGTTTATCAAATGGAGAGAAATCCGTGAAGTAGCAATATGGATAGCAGGGCTTGGTCCCGAACAATCGACACTTCCCCCGACCGACGATAGAGTCCTCGCTGTCCACAGTACGTCACAAGCCCACACGCACAGTTCCACAAGCAGGCTGACCAGTCTGGGGACGTCGAGGAGACGACGGTGTCCAGCGGTGACTGCGTTCCGCCGTTGAAGACCAGGAGGAGTTCGCGGTCGCGAGCGTCGTCGTCTAGGGATCTCCGGTGAAACTCCCAGCAGCCTCCTTCTCCTCACGTCGCAGCACCACTGGGTCAAGAGCACCGTTCGTCACGGGAGCCGTGGTCAGCAGCGTCTCCGGGGTTGCGTCCTCCGGTGACCTGTCGAGGTGCGTGCGGGAACAAGAAGACGCGCGCGCACCACTGATGAGCGGAGAACCTTCTGACGTCAAGAGGTGCGCCGCTCTCTTCGCGAGGCGATCACACGTATACGTACACACACACCACCACACACCCAGGAGCGCGCACTCCCAATCGCGAGCGGCGTCCGCGAGCCTCTGTGTGCGGCGGCGGCGGCAATGCCGACTTCTACCTGGCCCGGTGTGTGCGAGCAGGGGTGAGGGCGCCAATGAGCGAGAGTGAGCGTGCGCAAGCTTCCGAATGCGGCGGCTGCTGCTGTTGCCCGAAGCGGCGGAGGCCGCGGTGCATCAGAGCAGAAGTGTGTGCATTAGGCACTCCACACTCGTTCCATGGCAGGCACTCGTCCCGAAACTCTAATAAAAAAGTATTGCCAGGTGAATGCTCCCCGCACAACCATGCTTTTCGACGTCCTGTGGACGTCCCCAGGGCGTCATTAACCAACTTTGTGTACTTGAGGTTAACTCTAACCAACTTGTTTACATCACTCTGCAGATCCCGGTGCTTATGCTGTGACTTCGGTGAAGGATATGTAGGGAGCCATTCATGGCCGATACAGCTGCTTATAAAGTGATAAGAAGCACACCCGGTACTGTATGACACTGATCTCTTCCCGTCGGCTCATCATTTTTTGAACTTATTGGACTCCTTCCTGAGCTAACTTCATATATAACCAAATTACCTTTACGGGAACTCGCTTTGATGCTTCCACCCCTTTAATCATTTGTATCGATTGAACCTGTCAAACCTGAGAAGTGTACATCGTGGGCTTTTTGGAGACGACCGGGTTGTGCAAACGCCTCTGACTTTGTGGTGCAGTCCCATATGCTGCAGTAAAACATTACTGTACAATTTAAAATTACTTTCTGTTTACCGCATTCTGTGGTTCAATCACTCATTGTCCTGTAAGTACACGAGGCTGCTATTACTCCGTATAACTGAACCAAGGTAAGGAATGTTGCCATCGCTAAGGTTAGTGATGTCGGCTTCCGACTAATAAAGGCAAAAATATGGAGGTAAATAATGACATTAATGCAATCGGTCGCAACCACACGCGAGAGACATCTGATAATACCTCGTGGTGCGTGCAAGTCTCCTATATCACTTATCTAGTATAAAAAAACATCAACGAGTTATGCATCTACACTGCATACTGCACGCGGGGCAGGTGTGCAGGATGCAACCTGAACTGAATCTTAAATACCCCGCCGCAAGTTGGACGATATGGATGGTGCAACATATGTAAAAGCCACGCTTAGCGAGCTGTTAGTCTCAATGAGAAAGTCATGTGACGACAAACCGTGAACATGGTATTAAATAAACAATATTTTAAGGTATAGTGTTTTTGTCACAACAAACTGGTTTCATGTTACCTGGTTTCACTATGGGCACTGAAATAGAGCAATGTTTCTATAGGAAACCCATCAATGTAGTTTCACATCTGCAACTCACAGCATGTGTTCCGCTTCCGGAACACTAAAAAACAGCCAGTTGGTCATGCAGTTATATTCGATTAATTGAACCCAGCGAGTAGAAGTCGTTGACTTCCATTTCTTCTCTTTTTATTGTTGCTTTGCAGTAAAAAAGTAGGCGTTATCTTTTGTGTTATATGCGCCGCAGGATATCTGAGCACGTTTAGTCCGCGACTAAGTCCGACTCTCTCTCTCTCTCTCTCTCTCTCTCTCTCTCTCTCTCTCTCTCTCTATATATATATATATATATATATATATATATATATATATATATATATATATATATATATATATATATATATCGGTACCATTCGTATATATCAAGCTTTCTTATTAACCTTTCTATTAACGTCGTGAAAATTCATACCTTCACGTCACGTCTGTCCCACTTCTTATATAGATCGTAATGCAGACAAATAAATGTCTAGCCATACCGACTCTTTCTTTCAATGTATTTTCATCCCTTTTTTTACCCTCTTACCTTTCCTCTCTCTCTCGCTTGAAAGCCTTCCTGTCATATTTAATATCAAAGGATACCTAACTTCATAGTCATATGACCTGCGCGAAACTTGGTAATGCCTTGCTCGTAGTTGCCACTGATGTAGTTCTAGAGGAGCTTGACCACCGCATACGCTCTAAGAAAATAAGGTGTCTTTTGACTCTTATTTATGCATCTCAGAATCAAACATGTAGCACTATATTCAGGGAGTTGCGTTGACTTTCATATAGATAGTCAATGCGACTCTCTATAGAGAATGCTACTCATGTGGCTCAGTATGCAGGAGGAGTCAAATGACATTGTTTCTTTTCTTAGAGTGTATGGTTGTCAAGCACATTGATTCTTCTTTGAGAGTCACATTGACTTCCTTTATGAGGCTCTGCGACTCTTTCAGGAGAGTCAACGTGTCTTCCTAAAGAGAGCGCTACACATGTGACTATCACATATATAAAATATATGTATTTCAATAATAAATAAAGGAGCATCAGTACTTGGACTGTGTACCTACGACAAAGAATTCTTTAACCCATTAAGAGTCAGTCCACGTCACTTAACTTATAGACCTTTATGAGGTCTTTAACAGTGGCTGCGGTGCGCACGAAAGTCTAGACTTTCCGCTACTTTACCGTATTTATTCAGAAGTTCAGGGGAAGATGAACGCCTAAAGGGATGAGAGATTTTCATCCACGGCTTTCACGAAAATAGCGCTCGACACTGTTACGAGAAAAACAAAGCACAAATCGTTCTCGTCGCTGAGAATGCCGTCGAACGAAGTCGCAAATGAATGGTGTCTCAACCCCAGGTGGTCGAAATTTCCGGAGCCCTCCACTACGGCGTCTCTCATAATCATATGGTGGTTTTGGGACGTTAAACCCCACATATCAATCAATGGTGTCTCAAACAGGTAATTGGACCTTGCGATCTAACCTTGTGTTCTTTACCGAGGCACACTTAACACGATTGATTGATTGATTAATTTGTGGGGTTTAAGGTTCCTAAACCGCCGTATCATTATGAGATACGCCGTAGTGGAGGGCTCCGGAAATTTCGACCACCCGGGGTTCTCTAACGTGTACCCAAATCTGAGCACACGGGCCTACAACATTTCCGCCTCCATCGGAATTGCAGCCGCCGCAGCCGGTATTTGATCCCGGGACCGGCGGGTCAGGAGCCGAGTACCTTAGCCCCTCACCGCGGCGGGGCCACACTTAACACGAGGCTTGCAGTGTACAGACTTTGTTACCTATAAATTGCTACAAGTGCTTATACTCTGCCTAGCTTATCACAAGCGTTAGCCTGGATAACAGGTATATCAAATTTCAACTCGTTCTAATCGAAACTTGCATGTTTCTAAAAACGCAACACAGACGCGAACATGACATTATCTCGCATCAAGAGTTGTGACACTCGTTTTCATGCACATGTGGGACGTTAGACGTCTCTCTCGCAGACATTATTTTTGAAGGTCACTTTGTGAAACATATACGCGGCATTCGTGGCAGCTGGTAATTTCTTTCATGCCATTTTTATATATAGTCGCAAGTCATGCCAAGTTCACTTTATGCGCGCATGCGGTCCACTCGTGCGCAAGTGGCAGATCGATCTCGCACAAAGAACAACAAAACAAAAAACAAAACCGTGACAGTATACAAACTAAACAAGCGAAAGCTGACGTGTCCGCTTAACCCTTTGCTGCCAACTCTTGCTCATGTGCCGAAACTGCAGAAGATATACGCGTCCGTCAGGCTACACTGAAGAGTGTGACATACGTGGAACAGTACAAGTGCAATCGGCTGCCGCCTATAATTGCATCAGCTATACTCCACCGCGTGCAATTATACCCGTCTATATTACTGGGCGCACGTGTGTGTACACCGACGCGTTCGAGTGCGTCGGTCTGCAAAGAGGATTTCGCTGTTCCTCCGCGACGCGCGCATCACGTCACGCGAGCGTTGCCTGCAGCTGGCGTCCACTTTCGAACTATGCAAACAGTGCGCTAGCCCGAGAAAACGTTCCAAATGCAACAGTTCGAAACTTCGAGGCCGGTAGCTTCGTTATAACGGGAGTGCAGGTTTTGCAGCAACGCGCGCATGCGGCGTTGCGTGCTTGCACGGACGCACGGAGCTCAACGAGCGGGTATCGTAGCGCACTTCGCTGACACCAGCGCCGCCGACGGCGGCTGCCGTAGTCGTGCGTGCTTGGGGCCCATGCAGCAGGGTGCATGCTGAGGCTGAGCGTAGGCGCGCGATGTGAGCTCGTTGTCACGCCACGAATATATCGCGGGTCCCGCGCTAGCTGTCCCTTCTGTATAACGCCTGCGCGCACTTAGGTGAACTCGTTTTGGTGATATCCCACCCGGGCTTGCGTGTCGGTGTAGGCACTGTTGTAGGCACGCACTGTTTGCTCGAGTGGTGGGCAAAGTGAAGCGGAATGATTGGGAATCTCATCGGAAAAATTATGGGGGGAAGAGGGGCGTGGGCATATGTATATAGTTTTGTACGCTGTTTACTATAGCGCGGAAAGCAGCCAACACAGTTACTACAAAATAAGTTAAGGTCTCCTAACGCGACCACACACTCAGAAAAAGAAAGAACAATGAAAAATACAACCACTGACTGTCATCAACCCACATTACTATTCGGTGTTCCACGTTGCCTAGTTCTCTACGTTCGTGCCCGTGTTTGTATGCCTTACCTTCCTTTACGGTGAATCCCTACCAACCGCACCAACTTTCTATGATGTTAAAGGCTGAACCACATGCACCCGTCGCAGCGCGTCTGCGCGTGACTTCCCCGACGCGGCGCCGCGCTCCCTTCCTATGGAGAGAGAAGCGCAGCATCGCGTAGGTCACGCGCCCCCTCTCTACATAGAGAGAAGGCGCACCCCGCGTCAAGAAAGTCACTTGCTGCAACGAATGCGTCTGGTCAGGCCTCGAGGCAAGACAGCCTAACGCACATGCTTCAGGGCTATGCAAGGTTACCGCGCGTGTGCATGCGTATGCTTCGTGTTTGTCCTCACTGTTATTCTTTAGGATGCAATCATATCTATTACTTGGGGTGTATCATTAAAAGTCTTGCCTAGTGCCTTCATGGTTGGCATCAATTATCATCTCTTCATTGCGAATTCGCATTACGGCTTCACCTATGCAAGCCGAGTATACATTTT